GTGAAAAAGTTTTGGAGATAGTAGTGACGGTCACCCAACATTGTAAATGTACCTAATGCTACTGAACTGTACACCGAAAAATGGTAAATTTCATCTCATGTATATTTTGCCACATTTTTTTTTAAAGGAAAAAGAGACCTGGGCTGAGACCGACCTCTGCCTCTAGTTCCTCTCTGGCCAGTTTCTTCCCATGCAAGAGAGGGGTTCCAAGAACGGATTTCGGGGAGTCCATTACAAAAGTTGTGAGCAACATCAAGGCCTCTCTTCACCTGCAGGGTCCAAGATCTATTCTATCTCATTAAAAAAAAGTACAGGATGGTAGGTAGAGCAACGTGCTGCCATTTGTATAAAAAAGGGAGATTATAAATGGTTTGTATACCTGCTTAGTCTATTTCTGAGAGAGCACATAGAAAATTCAGAAATCTGGTCATGTGCAGGGGGGAGTGGCTGAGGAGGAGGACGAGTTGGAAAGGGAGGCACTCTTCACCTAGACCCTGTACCTCTGAATTTTGTATACTGTGCGAATATCTAGTCAAATAAATATAAATACACCTTGAACAAATTCTATTGAACTTTTAGAAATACAGATGCAGGGCCCCACCCCCTTGTAATTAATTCTGATACTGAGGTGGAGAGGGTCACCATATATGCACGTGCCCAACAGCAATAATTTCCTGTTCTGTTCCCGCCGTGCGCTCACAGCACGTCCACCGACATTATCGCACTGCGCCTTGGCCAAAGTGGATTATCTTGGTTTGCAGATGACGAAACTGACGTTCTGAGTGTCTCTCCGCCTCAGCGAGCAGGGCGGGGTGGCCGCAGGCCGGGGGTGTCCTCTCCTAGCAGGTGACTCTCGGGCGCCCCTCACAGGTCGGGTGAGGTGGCTGTTCCCCGGTTTACAGAATTAAAACAGCCAGCCGGAGGCTGGGAACAGAGCCTGGGCTTCGTGTGCGTGAGTGTGTGTCTGTGTAAGAAAACGTGGTTGAGGTTCAGATGTACCTGCATCTGAGTCTGCTGTGTGCCTGCGTGCCTGCCATGTGTGGACTCCGTGTGTGTGCATATGGAGGTGTTTGTGTGTGTGCACATATGTATGTGTCCCAGCGCCGGATGGTCTCTGTCCTTGGCTCTGTTCAGCTGTGGTGTCCTCTCCTCTGTGAAGCCACCCTGACTTCCTCCCTCCCCCACAATGCTCAGTCTCCCCCAGTGCCCCCCTATGTCCTAAATACAACTCCATCACCGAGCCTGACACACTTTATTACACCTAAGGGCTAGCATTCCGTCTCTCTTGAGTCTGGGCAGGACTTGACCTTGGTGACCTCACACCCCCGGAGTCCAATATGGGGCAGGGCACATAGTGGGGTCTCAGCCCACGCTCGCGTCTGTGTCTTTATGTGTTTGACTGCACATGGGTGGCTGTGGGTGTCTGAGCGTGCATTTTCGGGGGTGAGGAGGGATCTCACCCAACAAAGCTGAATACACAGCTCTCTTCGGATCCTGGAGGCCAGGTGTCCTCTTGGCTTTCTCACCCACAGTCCTCCTGCTCAGGATGGGCTGTGTAACAAAGTCCAGGCCATCTCTCACATGGTCACCCGTGGACCCAGGGAGCCTTGGCCAAAGTGGATTATCTTGGTTTGCAGATGACGAAACTGACGTTCTGAGTGTCTCTCCGCCTCAGCGAGCAGGGCGGGGTGGCCGCAGGCCGGGGGTGTCCTCTCCTAGCAGGTGACTCTCGGGCGCCCCTCACAGGTCGGGTGAGGTGGCTGTTCCCCGGTTTACAGAATTAAAACAGCCAGCCGGAGGCTGGGAACAGAGCCTGGGCTTCGTGTGCGTGAGTGTGTGTCTGTGTAAGAAAACGTGGTTGAGGTTCAGATGTACCTGCATCTGAGTCTGCTGTGTGCCTGCGTGCCTGCCATGTGTGGACTCCGTGTGTGTGCATATGGAGGTGTTTGTGTGTGTGCACATATGTATGTGTCCCAGCGCCGGATGGTCTCTGTCCTTGGCTCTGTTCAGCTGTGGTGTCCTCTCCTCTGTGAAGCCACCCTGACTTCCTCCCTCCCCCACAATGCTCAGTCTCCCCCAGTGCCCCCCTATGTCCTAAATACAACTCCATCACCGAGCCTGACACACTTTATTACACCTAAGGGCTAGCATTCCGTCTCTCTTGAGTCTGGGCAGGACTTGACCTTGGTGACCTCACACCCCCGGAGTCCAATATGGGGCAGGGCACATAGTGGGGTCTCAGCCCACGCTCGCGTCTGTGTCTTTATGTGTTTGACTGCACATGGGTGGCTGTGGGTGTCTGAGCGTGCATTTTCGGGGGTGAGGAGGGATCTCACCCAACAAAGCTGAATACACAGCTCTCTTCGGATCCTGGAGGCCAGGTGTCCTCTTGGCTTTCTCACCCACAGTCCTCCTGCTCAGGATGGGCTGTGTAACAAAGTCCAGGCCATCTCTCACATGGTCACCCGTGGACCCAGGGTCAGCCAGACTGCTTTTCCTCTTTGACCTGACTTCTGGTCAAAGCTTTTGTCCCTCAGTTCGGTAAGACAGGGGCTGCTTTGGGGCACCAACCCCTCCTGCTGGCCACTTGGGATCTGCATCTCTGGCATTCTTGTCCTCCCAATGGGTCTTGGAGTCAGTCTGAAATTGCCAGGCCAGCCTTAAACAGCCCATGTTCCTCCCTAATCCCCAAGCACCAGGCCTGAGTCCCAGGCCCTGAAGTCTGTTGTGTTCCCTCTGGGTACAGCTTTTGTCCATCTTTCTCTGTTCTGCCTTCTATAAACAGAACCTAGAATCCATGGTCATTCCCCTTCCGGGAGCCCTTCCCACTATCTAACCTCTTTCTTTTCCAATCAGAGTCTGAGGCTTGCCTCCTCCTCTGCCACTGAGACAGTCCTGAGAGGGAACGAATGGAGACAAATGGTTACAGCTTAGGTTCTGGAACCACACTCTCTGGGCATGAATCCCAGCTCCACCGCTGACGAGATTTTAGCCCCACGACGAAAGAGTTTCGGAAACAGTGGTGATGGCTGTGCAACATTGTTAATGTACTTAAATGCCACTGAACTGTACCGTTAAAAATTATTAAAATGCCAAGTGCTATATATATATATATATATGTATAGCCACAATAAAAAAAGCTAAAAACATAAAAGATGTTAGCCCCAGATAAGTGTATCAGGCAGGGTCCTATCAGGAATCCAGGGGCTCTCTCAAACTGGATAATTTGAAGATTGCTTCATAATAGGATTATATACAAAGGTACGGACTACTGAACCACAGTGGGTTTAGTGGACATTACCCCAGATCTAGCAACAGTGGGCTTATTACCACTCATAGGGGTCCAGGGAATGGGAAAAAAATGGTTCCTAGAATCTGGAGACAGGGCCCCGGGCAGGAGAGGTGACCTACAGCAAACCTGCAGGGGGAGAGGCAGGCAAATGCCTAGCCTCCCTCTGGTCTGTCTCCTCTCCTATTGGTGCCGCTCTCCACTGGCCAAGCCCTACGGAAGCCATTGGGCAGGGCCTTCAGCCTTCAGGCCACTGAGCAGAGTGGAGAAGGATAGAGAGAGGCTTTGGAGTGGTGACACAAGGTGCCCAGCACACCCTGATAGCCTCAGTTCCCTCATCTGTGAAACAGGCCATTATCAATCCTACCCTCCTACTAGGTTGTCAGTGATAACGGGGAGGATGTTACGGCCACAGTAAGTGCTCAATGAACAGATCCGGCTGACTGCTTCGAGTCTGGTGATTAATTGGCATCGTGTACTTAGCCTGTCTAAAAGCTGAAACCTTGGGTGTTCTCCCTCACAAACCTATTACTTCCCTGGTCTCAGTAAGGAGTATACCATCCATCCAGCCGCTCAAGCCAGACCCCTCAGCACCGTCCTTCAGGGAATGGCAGTCTCCCTCCCCCTGTCCCCACATCTGTCATTCCACGTGTCTCTGCTCTTCTCATCTCAAATCTGTCTCCCTCTCTCCATCCCCACTGAGGCTATGCTAGTCCATCACCCCCCACCCAGATCACTCCTAAAACCTCTCACTGGTCTCCCTGCACCTACCACCTATTCTCCACCCACCAGCCAGGGGGATCTCGAGCATGAGCTGGGCCAGGTCACTCCTCTGGGGAAACCCAGTGCCCCCCAGGCACATGGCCTCATTGCAGCTTTCCCTCTCTTGGGCACCTTTCTCCTTCCTCAGAGCCTTGGCATCTATTATTTCCAACTCCACAGAAAGTTCCTTGCTTCAAATTTTCCTCCCAGGTTGGCTCAGGGGGCAACTGGATGGTTCCTTCTCATTCTTCAAATCTCAGCTTAAATACGATCACTAGAAAGAAGCCTTTCCCAACCACCTCATTGAAATACATTCCCTTCCCTGCTCCCATTGGCTTTTCTGTTCCAGTGCCCCAATCAATTCCTTTAATAGCACGTACAGTTTGTAGTTACATATATATACATTTGTTTGGTACTTGTTTGTAGACTGTTTCCCCACCATACTGTAAATTTCCAAAAAAGACCCTGTCTGTTTTGCTCATTACTGTATCCTCAGGTCCTTGCACGGAGCAGGTGTTCAATAAATACTGGTCAGTGAGCAAACGGTAGCTAATGTTATGATGGTGATGCTATCAGAGCCCTTCCAGAGAATCCCACCACACCAGCAGGGCGCTCCCCATCCCCTTTCTTTAGTCTCCAGTCCCTAAGTCCCCTGCTTCCAAGACTAACTTCAGTAAAGTGCAAAGGAAAAGGGGTGATATCATTGGCAAAATATCTCTACTCATGTTGATGACCAGAAAGTGTGAGTGGCTGGAGAATTTATCAGGAAAAATGGATAGAGAGGGAGAATGCCAGAAGACAGGGGCAGAGTGCCAGCAGGCCTTGGGGAGGGACTGTGTGCGGGGGTAGGGTTGGCCTCCTGGGTGTGTCCCTTTTCTTTTCTCTGGCTCCCTTAGATAAGACAAGCAGTTTTGTCATCCTCTCTCTCTCTCTCCACAGTCCAGGAAGCCCCAGTCCCACAGTTTGGAAACATGTCCATGCAAGAGGACATGCAATCCCAGAAGCTCTGGTCAAGGATCCATAAGTCTCAAAGAGACTTAGCAAAGTCCATCCTGATTGGGGCTCCAGGAGGTAAGAAAGGGCAACAGAAGCTATTGAACAGAGAGGGAAAATGAGGATGGAGGTCAGAAATGGGGGTAGATGGTCCAAATGACCAATATCTGCTGCTGGCCAGGGGGGACTTGGGGAGATTCAGTGTTCATGGGAGTCTCCCCTGGGTTAAGTTATGAACCCTGGTCTGGGCTTCTTCTACCAGCGCTATAGGCTAGGCAGAGGGGTTGTCCTGTGGCTCCTGGACTCTGGCCCCTAGTGCACAAGGCTTCCAGTGACACAGGAGACACTGGTAACACTTTAACCAGTATGCAGGACTGATCCCCAGCCCAGCTGAGCCCTGGGGCTTCAATAGCCTGATACTGTGGTGCAGACCCCCAGAGACTGGCAGACGTTCAGCGGCATGGAGGGTGTGGCTCGAAGGGGAGCTCATCTGGGCTGGGCTGCACTGGATCAAGTAGCATTGAAGGAGCCAAGGAAACTCAGAGGAGAGGGCCGGGAAGCCAGTCACCTGGAAGGAAGGAAACAAGGACCCTAGGAAAAGGAACTGAGTGATTCTGGGCCCGGATAATGAGAGGCCACTGTGGACTAAATATCAAGGGCTGAGGCTGAGAGAAGAGGCACTGAAGGGCAATCAGTCTGGGGTTATGAGGGATCAGACAGCTGTATGGCCAAAAGGTTAACTTAGAATTAGTCAGACCTGGATGTAAATCCCATCCTTGTTACTTAGAAGCTGTATGAACTTGGGCAATTTACTTAATATTCCTCAGCCTCGGTTTCCTTATCTGCAAAATGGGGATAATTACAGAGCATAGACAGTATTTGCTTTAAAGGATTCTTCTGACTAAGAGAATGTATGTATAATGCCCAGTTCATAAGAAGGACTCAACAAAAAATGGGAAAGTTGGGGGAAGGAAGAGAGGGTATGCTGAGATGAAAGGATGGGGAGGGGGGACAGGTACCCAGGCAGCTACTTCTTCTTCAGGGCCGGCAGGGTACCTGCGGCGGGCCAGTGTGGCCCAGCTGACTCAGGAGCTGGGCAATACCTTCTTCCAGCGGCAGCAGCTGTCAGCCGCTATGGCAGACACCTTCCTGGAACACCTCTGCCTGTTGGACATTGACTCCGAGCCCGTGGCCGCTCGCAGCACCAGCATCATTGCCACCATCGGTAAGCAGTCCCCTCCCCCGCAGCAGCACAGGGCCTCCTGGGTGCTCCTCAAGGTGCTTCCCCATCTTTTGTCTATTTCAAGACTTCTCCACGTTTGATGGAGTCAGTCATTCAAAAAATATTTGTTGAGCACTTGGTAAGCAAGGTTTTGGGCCCTGGGAAGAGACCAATGAAATGAAGATTCCTACCTTTGGGGAGCTGACAATCTAGGCAATAAATAATAGAGATAATACATATTTTTAAATAACTTTTTAGGTATGTGAGAAAGTGTTAAGAATATGGTAAAACAAAAAACAGAGCCTGGTAAGGAGCATTAGGGATGTGAGGGAGGGAGACAGATTACAGTCCTACATAGAGTCAAGGTAGCCTTGTTCAGAAAATTAAGACCTGAGCAAAGATACGAAGGAGATGACAGAATGAGCCATGCAGATGGGTTGGGGGAAGAAAGTTCCAGACAGAGGGAACAGTCAGTGAAAAGGCCCTAAGTCAAGGAGGCTGGAATGGCTAGAAACCATCAAAGGGGAAGAGTAGCAGAACTGGAGATTGAAGGGGAGGGGTAAGCCACAGAGTGCTTTCATAGGCCTTTTTCAGAATTTGAGTTGAGTTTTCTTCCAAGTGAAATGGGAAACTACTGTAGAGTTTTGAGAAGAGAGTACCAACGCTCCTCCTTATGTTTTAACAGAATAACTCAGGCTGCTGTATTGAAAATTGATTGGGGTTTTGGGTGCAGGCAAGGGCAGAAGCTGCTCCTGCAGTATTTCTGGCTTAGACCACATGGTGACAGTAGAGGTGGTAAGAAGTGATCAGATTCTGAACGTGTTTTGAAGGTAGAGCTCACAGGATTTCCTCCAAGGTTTCTGGCACGACCATCTAGAAGGATGCATTACCAACTGAGCAGGAAAGATTGTGGTGGAAAGGGCTGGGGGCAGTGGGAAGGAGATCAAGATTTCAGTTTGGGGCATGTTGAGATTGAGATGCGCATCAGACATCCAAGTGTGATGCAAAGTAGGCAATCAGACACACAACTGTGGATTTGGGAGAGAGGTTTGAACTGCAGATTTAAATTTGGTAGTGGTCAGTTTATAGATGGCATTTAAAGCCATGAGGCTAATTCACAGGGGAGTGAAGGGGAAATGACAGAGAAGAGAGTGGGGCATTCTTCCCCCACAGGAAGAACGGGCTTTAGGTAGTGCCTGGAGAGGCTGGCCGGCTGACTCTCTGTCACACAGCTGCTTTATCTGGTTGGGACAGAACTCAACTGTCCTCAATATGAATCCTCTCAGCTCTAAAGCCCTGAACCCCAAATTCTCTGAGCTGGCACCCATCCCCTTTCCGACGTGGGGGTCCGTACCCCCATCCTCACCACCACTGCAGCACTTTCATCACTGCCACAGCTACTGCCACTTTACATTACACATTTACCTCTGGCCTGGCTGAGGACCCTCCTCTCCAAGACCCGCAGTACTGCCTCCCCAAGGAGGCAGGTGTTGGCTGGAGAGGGGAAGGGCGCTTCTGACCTGTGAGCAGGGGTTTTGTCAGGAAATAAAGGTCAGGTAACAAGACTTTTGCAGCACAGGGCGTCTCTGTGATGGGTTTGATTGTCTCTCAGGTTTGGGTAGAAAGTTGTCCGAACAGGATCTCTGGTTCCAGGGCCGGCATCTCGCTCCGTGGAGCGCCTCAAGGAGATGATCAAGGCTGGGATGAACATCGCGCGACTCAATTTCTCCCACGGCTCCCACGAGGTTCAGGGCGGGGCCGCGGGGAGGTGGGAGGGGCTGGAGGATGCTCTGGGGTCCTGGCTACATACCTCTGAAATCCCCACTCGGTTCCCGTCCCAGTACCACGCTAAGTCCATCGCCAACATCCGGGAGGCGGTGAAGAGCTTTGCAACTTCTCCGCTCAGCAACCGACCCGTGGCCATAGGTCTGGACACCAAGGGGCCGGAGATACGCACTGGGATCTTGCAGGGGGTGAGAGGCGGGGCCAAACGGCTAAGTTCCGGGGATCAGGAAGGGGGCGGCAGGGCGCGGAGGTAGTGGCCGGGGGACAGCGCCTGGGGAGGGGCCGGCCGGGCGTGGGGCGGAACTCGACGCCTCTGGCTCCGCCCCCAGGGCCCGGAGTCGGAAGTGGAGCTGGAGAAGGGCGCCCGGGTGCTGGTGACCGTGGACCCGGCCTTCCAGATGCGGGGGGACGCGAGCACCGTGTGGGTGGACTACCCCAATATCATCCGCGTCGTGTCAGTGGGGAGCCACATCTACATTGACGACGGGCTCATCTCCTTAGCGGTCAAGAAAATCGGTGCGGAAGAGCCTCCAGCCCTAGCTGCGCGCAGACGCCGGGCGCTCTCTCTTCCCCTGGGCTCCCCGGTTCCACCTGTGGACTGAACGCACCTTGCGCTGGCCAGCGCCCTTCGCCACCCGTCTGGAGTCCCCAGCATCCAAACCCCTGGGCTCGCCCTTGGCTGGGGCCAGACTGGCGAGTTGGACCTTTCTTCCACAGACGTCCACTCAGTGCCTATTCCGAGGGGAAACCTGGTCAAGGGCAGAGAGACGATAAATAGGACGTGGTTCCTGATCTCTTGCGGTCCCAGGCCCCATGTTCCCTCAACAGTGACTCTGTGCCAGGCTTACCCCTGACCTAGGCTGGCTCTTTTCATGCCCACAGGCCCAGAGGGACTGGAGACCGAAGTGGAGAATGGCGGTGTCCTGGGCAGTCGGAAGGGCGTGAACCTGCCGGGCGCCCAGGTGGACCTGCCTGGGCTGTCGGAGCAAGATGTCCGGGACCTGCGCTTTGGGGTGGACCATGGCGTGGACATCATCTTTGCCTCCTTTGTTCGGAAAGCCAGCGACGTGACTGCCGTCAGGGCTGCTCTGGGGCCGGAAGGAAAGACCATCAAGATCGTTAGCAAAATCGAGAACCACGAAGGCGTGAAGAAGTGAGATTTGGTCTTTGTTCCCATCAGGCCCCAACCATCCCCAACGGCCCTTGTCTTCTCCCGCCTGCCTCTCCTTGGCATCTTCTGGCTCCTCCCCAACCCTGACTCCTCCAACCAACCAGGTTTGATGAAATCCTGGAAGTAAGCGATGGCATCATGGTGGCGCGGGGTGACCTGGGCATCGAGATCCCCGCTGAAAAGGTCTTCCTCGCTCAGAAGATGATGATCGGTCGTTGCAACTTGGCGGGCAAGCCCGTTGTCTGTGCCACACAGGTCTGCAGTGAGCCCTTTGGGCTGGGGCACTCTATGGGTTTTAGGGACACCGAGAGTGAATAGCCCACAACTTAGGTCTGTAGGATGTTTGCTCTCCAGTGTTTGATCCTCAGACAGCTAACTTAGGGAGAGATACTGTGATCCCCATGTTCAGATGAGGAAACTGGACAGCCAGGATTACACAGTTTGTGACTGCGACCCTGGCTTTCAGTGCACTGAGAGCGTCAGAGAACTAGCTTGGGCAAGAGTCAGAGTGTGACTCCTTTAGCATTGATATCCAGATGTCCCCCAGATGCTGGAGAGCATGATCACTAAGCCCAGGCCCACTCGGGCAGAGACGAGCGACGTGGCCAACGCTGTGCTGGATGGGGCAGACTGCATCATGCTGTCGGGGGAGACTGCTAAGGGCAAGTTTCCTGTGGAGGCTGTAAAGATGCAGCATGCGGTAGGAACTCAGAATGCAAAGGGGCAGGAAAACTAAACCCCTTCCAGACCCCATGCCCCTGCCCGGCCTGACCTGGCTGCTTGCAGATTGCCCGGGAGGCAGAGGCTGCGGTGTACCACCGCCAGCTATTCGAGGAGCTGCGCCGGGCAGCACCCCTGAGCCGTGATCCCACTGAGGTCATTGCTATCGGCGCTGTGGAGGCGGCCTTCAAGTGCTGTGCTGCAGCCATCATCGTTCTGACCTCGACAGGCCGGTGAGGGGGATGCTGGGAACACTAAGATGGGACTTTGGGTCAGGGGCAGGCTAGGGTGGGCCACAGGCTCAGGTTTGTCCCATTATCCGAGATGAAGTATATCATTCTGGGGCAAGAAGAGAGGTAGTTACAGGAGCTGGAGGCCAGGAGAGGCAGCTCTTGGAGCATACCAGAAATTGTGCCAGTGAGTTCCAGGGGCTTGGAAGAGGAAGGTGGTATCTCTGGGTGCATGGGTTCCAAGCCATTTGGGCTTTTAGGGCTCAGAGGCAAGGTCTCTGCATTTAGCCCACAAAGCCTTACAGTGCTGAGGTGTTGCCAAAAGGCCCAGAGCCTGAGTTCAAGTCTTTGTTTGGAAATTTAACTGTGACATCTTGGGTAAGTCACCAGGCTCTCTAAGCCTCCTCCATTTCCTCATGGGATGGTGAGAATTAACAAGGACATTTATAGTGAAGTATTGTATAAAGGTACATTCTCAGAAGAGTTTTATATTTCTCAAAGAGGTTTCTCCTTATTATCTCATTTGGTATATTCTTGATTATCTCATAGCTTCCTTGTGTGGTAAGAAGGGTGGGCATTCTTATGCCCATTTTACAGGAGAGAAAACCATGGCCCAGAAAAATATGCTGACTTACCCAGGGTCACACAGCTTGTTGGTGATACCTGGAATTAGAACCCAAACTCCTGTTTTCTTGTTCAACACTCTTTCCTTGCTCTGGGCTGACCTTCTCTGCCTCCTTCAGCTCAGCCCAGCTCCTGTCTCGGTACCGACCTCGGGCAGTAGTCATTGCTGTCACCCGCTCTGCCCAGGCTGCCCGCCAGTCCCACCTGTGCCGAGGAGTCTTCCCCTTGGTCTACAGTGAACCTCCAGAGGCCGTCTGGGCAGATGATGTGGATCGCCGGGTCCAATTTGGCATTGAAAGTGGTGAGCCACTAGACTTCTTCCCCTCCCTCCACTGGATTTGTATCACAAGTTCCCCAGTTCCACTTCCCACACCCACCCAACGGGCCTTGCCTCTCCCCTCTGGTCCCAAATTTTCTCTGTGATGTTCACTAAGACTCAGACATATTTTGGCCTTCGGTGGTGGGAAGGAGGACGTACTGAGGAAGGAGGGCAGAGGGAGAGAGGTCAGGGTTGTCCCTAAGAAGTCAGCCCAGCTGCTGCCTGCGCTAGGTGGCTAGAGCTGTGCGTGACATACGGAGGAAGAGGTGAGAGGAGAAAGGGGATCCTGCCACTGGAACTAAAATCGAATTTACAGTTGGCTATGATCATACCCTACCTCTTCCTATCAGCACAGCAACACAGGTGGGTAGACTTGCTACTTAGCGGCACAGCCCATGCCACCGCACGGACACACGTGCAGCTCTGATACGCTGCAGTGGTCATATTCCTGCAGTGCCACCTGTGCGTCACACTGGACAGTTTGCCTCAGGCCCCCCATTCCTTACAGAGTGACTTTGAGGAGGTGGAAGGTGGTGGCTGATTCTCATCACAGGGCTGGCCGGGGTCCCTCAATGGCTGATTGTCATCTTCTCTTCCCCCGCCCTCCAACCGCCAGGGAAGCTCCATGGTTTCCTCCGTGTTGGGGACCTGGTGATCGTGGTGACAGGCTGGCATCCTGGCTCTGGCTATACCAACATCATGCGGGTGCTGAGCATATCCTGAGTCGTGTCCCCCCGCACCGAACTCTGGACCTCATCCCTTCCCCATTCCCTCCACCCAGTGCCCCTCCTAAGTCTTCTGCACTCCCAGTCCCCCCTGCCCAAGGCCACATCTGCCATCTAGCCCCATTCCAGGTTCCCCTTCCCCCTCTCCATTTCACACAGGCCCCGACCAGCCATGGCCAGTTAAGCACTGGCCATCAGGCAGCGCCAGCCATACATTCCCTGTACCTAATGCTCTCAGATGAGCCCTGAGATGTTCTGAGCCTTTAATCCCAGCTTAACTGTTTAATTCAATCCACCCAGCCCCCTCCCACTGCTCCCTATACCTGGGGCTTGGGGGGAGAGGAACAGGACAATCATGTCCACAGTTAACACAAAACCATATTTGAAACATATTTCACCTCCGAGTCTGACGTTCTTGTATGTGGTCCTCATAGTAATCTGGGCATCTCCCGGGGGGACTGCCTCCTCTTCCTTCGTCGTGACTAACGGTGGCATCAAAGCACCATGTTTTTGGGGAAGCCAGGATAGAAGGACACTGGGGAGTGCTGACAGCCAGGCGGCCCCATCTTGTCCCTGTCTTCACAACCTCTGCTGGGCTGACAGGCCACCCCCTGGCTGCCCTCATGCCCTCAGGCCTTGCTGGGTCAGATGTCCTGCTGCCTCCTGCACCCAGAAATTTCTTCATGCCTACTTTGTTCCCACACACAAGCCAGGAGCCAAAATGAGTGTCTCTATTTTCTTTTTTAAACCCATCTGTTTGGAAGCAATTACAAAACTTCTCCTACATATCCAGAACCCCAGAACCCCCGACCCAGGAGAAAAGGAGGTTTAGGGTCCTGGCCCCACATTCTTTGATGCTGTAGAGTAGGGGTGGGGATGGAGGGGTGGGGCAAGGGATTTCTCTTGTCCCTGAGAAGGCAGAGGAGCTGGCTAGCCTGCCCTTTCCCAGGCTTGAGTACCTCAGGCCCTCCCCTTACTCCTGCACCAAGAGCAAATTCAGTAGGAAAAAAACCCATAAAAGTAAGAACAGTCCTCCTCCCCCTCCTGGGCAGCCTTCCTGCCCCTACCTAGATAGGGGGAGGGTTCGAGTATTGCTGCTGATGGGGTTGGGCAAGTACCACAAGAGCTGGCGCGGAGGGGCCTGACCCTTCCTATCTCCCTATCAGAAAGGGAGTGGAGGGAAGGATAAAGGATAAAGGAATGGGGGAATAAAATGAATTGGTAATAAATAAAATTAGCAAATAAAATTATTAAGAATTGTGTAAATAAGAATAAATAAATAAGGAAGGGAGAAAGGAAAGCAAAAATGTCATTTAAGGATTCAGCCACTTGCCCCCACCTGGAGGGATCTAGGCTGGCACATTAAAGGAGGTGCCAACCATCCCTTGGCGTCAAGGGGGACAGCACTGGGGCAGGCGTACAGTGAAGAAGTGGCTCCTAGTTTACAAAAAGACAGTCTACCACAGAGACAGAGACTGCAGGGAACTTGACAGGAGATGCGTATTCCCACTTGGGGGGTTCAGGCAGGAAGGGTCCACACATGGCAGCGAAGGTGCCCGCGCCCACACCGGGGACCCAAGACATTTGCTGACAACAGTGGAGGTGCAGGTAACTGGCAGTGCCTGGCTCAGTTACGGGGCCAGGACGATGACCACATCAGGCAGACCTGCAGGGTCATGGGCAGGGAAAGGGAGACGCCTAGTACTTGGCAGTGATGGCAAGTGCTTGTGCTTAGTTAAGGGGATCACAGGCCTGAGCCTGCACCTGGCAGGACCATGGCCAGGACGATACCCTCGTCAGACGGCTGGGAGTTGCTTCTACTTGGTAGTGGAGACCTATAGCGCCTGGCACAGTGCCTTGAATGTGATAGATGCTCAGTACATTTGATGAATGAGTGAATGGACTAGGAGGATGTCAAGCCGCAGGGTGCCTGAGCAGACACAGAACATCTTGGTAGGTGGGGGGATATTCCCGTAGGGCAGTGTTCCAGGTCCCCTTGGCCCTCGCCAGGAGGCTTCCACCCTCAGGCACACGTTACTACACCTGAGAGCCTACCCAAGGGCTTCACATGTTGGCAGAGAGCTGGGGACCCCGGGAGGTGGCTGGCTCAGGCACTGATGGCCTGGGGGCCTGGGCTGCCCCTGGAGGCTTGGCCAGGAGCCCTGAGGAGGGCAGACGTTCACTTCCCGATCCCTTACGCCCAGGAGAGCCATCACCTGCTGCCCGCTGAGGCAGAGAAGGTTGGGAGGCTGAGAGTGGGCGGCCCCGAGGTCCTAGTCGTCGTCCACCTCCTCCTGGTGGGGGGCCCAGCAGAGAAACCTGGGAACGCCCTGCCCGAGAGAGGCTGGCATGGAGGGTTCGGGCAGGGGGAGCAGGAAGGCGGGAGGTGGATGCCCACGGCCCCCGGGCGAGCAAAGGGCCCGCTCGGACAGGCACCAGTGGGGAGGCGGGGGAACCTGCTGAGCGACGAGCAGAGCGAGCAAGGAGGGTGGCTGGAGAGTCGGGCGAGAGGGGCAGAGGGCCTCGCTGGTGAGTCAGGGCGATGGCCACGTTGGAGGTCACGGCGGCTGCCTGCAAGGGTGCGTGCACCAGTGGCTCCCAGAGCACCGGTTTTCCGCTGAGCCGAGCTCCTGTGCCTGGGGCCAGACCCCGAACACCCCGAGCCATGTCCCTGTCCTGTTGCACCAGGTGCTGCTCCATGATGCCCCCACTGCTGCCTGGACTTGGCTCAGAGCGCTTCCGCTGCAGTATGGAATTCTTCTTGCCTAGAAATCATCCCAGGAGGGAGGAGTTAAGGGTAGGAAAGGAATCCAAGATGAAGGTCACTGTCATAGAATGAGAGTACCAAGATGGGATGAGGGTAGGGGATGGGGTCAAGATATGGACATGGGGTTGGGGGGATGGGGATCAGGAGATGGCAGTTAGAGGAAGAGTCAGGGGGAGAGAGTGTGTATCCACGATGGTGAGGATCTGGGCCTGCTACTCAAGGAAGGAGGACTCGGGGCATGAGGATTTGGGGGCACATCTCCAGGTGTAGGAGATACTGAGTGGTAGGGACAGTGAGCCTCAGTGTTGAAAGGCGTATTGGGGGCATTTGCTGGGACTGGGGTGGGCTGGGGTGTGACACTGAAGCAGCAGAGTCTGGGCCCTGGGATGTGGAGATGGGGTGGGGGCCCAGCCTGGACCCAGAGCAGACAGGGTGGACAGTCCTCCTCACCGATGCGGCGCAGCCGGTCCATGGCCACAGTCTCGAAGGCCCGGCGCATCATGGGGAACTCCTCGAGCACAGCGTTGAAATGATCCACGCTGAGCGAGTAGAGGCGGCAGTAGGTGTCAGCCCGCACGCTGGCCGTGCGGCGGCCCCGAGTCAGCAGACAGATTTCTGTGAGATTGGGAGGAGTCCCTCAGAATCACTGTCCCCAGAACTCCCTCCCACTGGGCCTGCCGCCGCAGACCCAGGGGCCCAGGCTCCGCCCCTAGATGGGAGGGGCTAATGATTACCCACCCCAGGGTCTCTAAAGGCTCCAAGTACTACTGTCTTTCTCGAAATTACAGTTCCTTCTCAGGAATAAAAGCTGACAAGCAGACAGGTCTTGCCAAACCCCCACACTCCATTTTCATTCCCACCCCACCTCCACTGCTCTATTCTGGGGTAGGCCTGGGGCAGCATTCTCCCTGCACCCTCCCTTCCCACCCCTTTGAATGAATTCCAAGGACAACCCAGAAGGAGAAAAGCAGTAACGAAGGTCTAAGGGCAACACAATAGGGATGCTGGAGGGTAGTGGGCGGTTTGGGTACTGGGAGATTATATGAACCTCAAGTCCTGTTAGGCAGCAGCAGGTAGAACTATCCTGGCTGCCACACACCGGGTCCCTGAATCATGCCACTAGGGCATATACCACTGGGGCACCACCAAACTCAAGCCCCTGGAACAGCACAGCTTTATCCCCATCTTTCCCTCATCTCAAAGGATCCTCGGATTTTGCTGAGTAAGGGTTCTAAAAGGCTCCCTGGCCCAGAAATTTTCAACCTGACTGTGCACTGGACTCTCTTAAAAAGCTGTTTAAAGATACAGAGCTCCAGGTCTCAGGCCCAGAGATTCTGATTAAGTAGGTCTGGTGAGGAGCTGGAACTCTGTAATTCTGCAGCACAGCCAGGGACCCTGATCCAGGATAGCAGTTGCCCTCTGTCCTCTGCACCAGCCCTCCCCAACCCCCCAAGGCCTGCTGACCCCCAAAGTAGGATCCATCAGTGAGGCGGGTGTCCCGGGCGCCACGTGCCAGCACACTGAGCAGCCCATGCTGGATGAAGTACATCTTCCTGCCCACAGAGCCCTCACGCACCACGAGGTCCCCTGGCTGGAAGACCTCAAAGCGCAGCTTGGTGAGCACCGCTGTGACGAAGCTGGGGTCGGCGTGGGCAAACAGTGGCATGTGGGCCACCAGGCCCCGGCAGGTGAAGTTAATAATCTCCTGGGCAGGAGAGGGGCCCGTCAGGCAGGCTGAGCCCCATGCCCCCAGGTACCCCCCTCAAGCTCATCTGTCTCCAGAGGTCCCACCCCTGGAGTCATGATCTGCCAAAGGATGGGGATGCTTCAGTGGGCCTGGGACCACCCCTAAGATCCTGCCTTCAGGGCTCTCCCACCAGCCCTCCCCCCAAAATAAAGATCCCTGCAGCCCCTTCGTATGTATACTTCATCCCCATAAGACTTCAAGAAAGGTCCTAGCCCCTAAAAGCTCCCTAAGAGCCCCCCAAAGTCCTCTGCAGGCCCCACTTCCTATAAAGCACCTGCTGACCAGTAGCACATGGCACCCCTAGGGGGCATCCCAGGAACCCAGGTCCTTGAAGAGCCCCCCTCCAGGGCCCCATCAGTCCCACCTCCCGAAGCGGCTCGCTCAGCTCTCCTAGGATGCTTTCCTCATCAAACATCTTGCCTTGATAGCGGTGTTCATAGTACTCATGGATGCGCTGCCGTGTGTCAGCCGGCAGCTTGTGGAAGGACATGTACTGCTCCACCTGCTTGTACTGCAGCCCAGCCAATGGCCCGCAGGCAAGAGGACACAGGTACAGATGTGGAGCAGGAACAGTGGCAGAAGGTAAGTAGAGGAAGAACATAGACATGAGTCAGACCCAGCGGGGTGAAGCATAGAGACAGATGGGGATACACAGCGCCAGACAAGGATATACGGATAACAGTGGATACAGGAAGGACACACGCATAATCGCAGGAAAACCCAGAGCAGAGGAGGGGATCCAAGGACAGGGTCATAGGTCCAAACATGGAAAGGGTACACATAAGAGCATGGGGCAAGGAAGGACAGAGAGACCCAACAGGGACATGTGTCAGAATGGGCCTCAAGTTGAGCTACCCAGCCTCCATGCTCACCCCTTCCCTCTCCTGCCCCTCCCTGCTGACCTTCTCCTGGTACTGGCGCCGGGAAGAGTCCAGGGACTGGATGAGGGCGGTGGCGTGGCCGATGAACATGGCATAGCACGTGGCACCCACGATCATGCTGAGCATGGTGAGCCAGACGTCGGGCATGCCAACAGGTGCCTGCTGCCCGTAGCCAATGCACAGCATGTGGCTCATGGCCTTGAAGAGAGCGTGGGAATACTGGCGGCCCCACGAGTGGTTCTGGGAGGGGCAGAGTGCATTGCAGAGCTGGGCACAGGCCCCTCAGAGCCTCATTCTCCTCCTGCCCCCTCTTCTCTTTCAGTCTTTCTGCCTGCCCCCTTCTTCAGACTTGCCTCCCAGGTGGCACTTAAGTTTGGTTCTGGGGGCCCTGGGGGAAGAAAGGGCCTCTTTGCAGCTTGGGAGCCTCAGTTTCTGCCCAGGTTTCCTTCCCTGCCTGCTCCCTCCAACACACAAACACGTCTGCTGGGTCTCTTTCCCTTCTCCTCTAACCTCCCCAACTCCTCACTCTGTCTTCTCTCTTGGTCATCTCTCCATCATCTCCCACCTCCTGCCCTGTGGTCATCCCAGCTACTCAGGCAAAAGAGCCCTCAGAAGGCCCCAGAGAGGCAGAGCTGCGGGGAGTTCTCACCACCATGTGGTTGATGGAGACCCAGCAGTCAGGAGGGAAGTCCTGCAGCATGGGGACCAGGAACTGCAGACAGCCATCCCAGTGACAAAGCAGCAGCATCATCCCGATGAGGTTGAAGATGCGAACCACAGCACTGGCCAGGTCATAGGTCATGTGAAAGATCTGAGGAGTCCGAGGAGGGGCTGCTGTGGACAGGACCCCTCCCTGCTGGTCCTCCTCCATGCCAGCCTTGCAAATCCTCTCTTTGAACTTCTCTCTAGCCCCAGCCCCAATGAGTTTAAATGTACTACTCTTCATTGGCATAGAGCTTGACAGCACACCTACAGCGGATACAAAGTGGTGGTCTTACTACTCTCATCTTATAGATGGGAAAATTGATACCAATCACGCGCCCAGAATCACACAGTAAGTGTCACAGCAGAAACTCAAAAAGGTCTACTGCACAAGCTGCCCAGGCTGTGCCCTCTGGAAAAGAGGAGAGAGGACATCACAGCATGATGTCCCCAGGGTGTGTGTATAGGGATTAATGCCAGTTTTCCTCCTCCCCTTCAGTAAAAATAAGGTAACTTACCGAGTACTTACTATGTGCTGGGCACCGTTCTAAATGTTTTACAGGTATTAGCTCCTTTAATCCTTATAACCTTATCATATGTAAGTATATTTAACACTTCATTTTACAGAAGAGGAAACCAAGTCTCAGATAATAAATAGTAAAACTGGGATCTGATCACAGGCAATGAGCACAGAGTCCATGCTCTGAACCATTAAACTGCTGCTCTGAAGCTCAAACACCAGCCTCTTGCACACCCTGCAACTCCTAGCTCCCCTTGCGCATCTTCCTCCTCAAGTGTTCGTCCAGTAGCTGTACTCCGCCCTCCTACACCGCCATCCTCACCCCGGGGCCCCATCCCCTGAACTCTCATTCTGCTCCTGCTTCTTCCCCACCAACTTTGGAGAGAACCCACCCCCAGAAGCTCCACCCATAAAGTCACCAGGAGCCCCACCCACAGCGCTGTCCCGGAGCAGTCTGCGAGCCCCCCTGCCCACCTCCCTGCCCCACCTCCTCCCACTGGTGTATGTAGCGGATGAGGCGGGAGAGGCGGAGCAGCCGCAGCAGGCTGAGAATCTTGGTGAAGCGCACAATGCGCAGGGCCCGCGCAGTTTTGTAGACCTCGGCGTCCAATCGTGGCTCCAGCTCCACCACTAGGAAGATGTAATCCACGGGTATAGAGGAGATGAGGTCAACCAGGAACCAGGTGCGCAGGTAGCGCGTGCGGATGGCTCTGGGTGCCAGTAGGATTTCAGCGCCCTCCTCTACCACAATGCCCGTGCGGAAGTTGAGAACGAGATCCAGCAGGAAGAAAGTGTCAGACAGGACGTTGAAGACGATCCAAGGCGGGGAGTTCTCCTCCTTGAAGAAGGTGATGCCCACGGGCAGAACAATGAGATTCCCCACCATCAGCAGGAGCATGATCAGGTCCCAGTAAAACCTAAGGTGGGGTGGGATGGGGAGTAAGGCCACCATGATATTTCAACAGCCACTAGACTAACAGCAGGTAATCTAACACAGCCAAGAGTGGCCAAGGATACAGAACAACGCAATGACCATTTACACCTGGTGGAAATGTAAACTAGGACCACTACTTGGGGAAATAGTTTAGTATTATCTAGAAAAGTTGAATGTTTGCATTCCTTGTAACCCAGCAATTCTATTCCTGGCTATAAACACACTCAAGGGAAACATGTGCTCCAGGGGACATATACAAGAATGTTTATAGCAGCATTAAATCTGGAAACAACCCAAATGCCCTGTCAGCAGAAAAGGGTAGATAAATAAGATACAGCAGATAAATAGATTGGGATATATTCATGTTCCTGAATAATATACAACCCTGACATCACCAACTGCAGGTACATTCCACAGTAGGGATGAATCTCACAAATTTAATGTTGAGCAAAAGAAGCAAGAAACAGAAAGATACATACTGGCTTATTCCACTTGTACAAAGTTCAAAAACAGACAAGATTAAACTGCATTATTCTGGGATTCATAGAAAAATGGTAAAAACTATACAGAAAAACAAGGATGTGAGTAGCACAAAAGTTAAAATAGTAGGTTTGGGAAAGGTATGTGGGAGCAGTAGGAAAGCTTCTAGGGTGCCAGCAGTGTAGTCTCTCTTGACTTAGTGGTTACATGGAGTTTGCTCTATAATTACCCTTTCAAAAACACACTGTATGTATGTGTGTGTGTGTGTGTGTGTGTGTGTGTGTGTGTGTGTNTGAAAGTGGTGAGCCACTAGACTTCTTCCCCTCCCTCCACTGGATTTGTATCACAAGTTCCCCAGTTCCACTTCCCACACCCACCCAACGGGCCTTGCCTCTCCCCTCTGGTCCCAAATTTTCTCTGTGATGTTCACTAAGACTCAGACATATTTTGGCCTTCGGTGGTGGGAAGGAGGACGTACTGAGGAAGGAGGGCAGAGGGAGAGAGGTCAGGGTTGTCCCTAAGAAGTCAGCCCAGCTGCTGCCTGCGCTAGGTGGCTAGAGCTGTGCGTGACATACGGAGGAAGAGGTGAGAGGAGAAAGGGGATCCTGCCACTGGAACTAAAATCGAATTTACAGTTGGCTATGATCATACCCTACCTCTTCCTATCAGCACAGCAACACAGGTGGGTAGACTTGCTACTTAGCGGCACAGCCCATGCCACCGCACGGACACACGTGCAGCTCTGATACGCTGCCGTGGTCATATTCCTGCAGTGCCACCTGTGCGTCACACTGGACAGTTTGCCTCAGGCCCCCCATTCCTTACAGAGTGACTTTGAGGAGGTGGAAGGTGGTGGCTGATTCTCATCACAGGGCTGGCCGGGGTCCCTCAATGGCTGATTGTCATCTTCTCTTCCCCCGCCCTCCAACCGCCAGGGAAGCTCCATGGTTTCCTCCGTGTTGGGGACCTGGTGATCGTGGTGACAGGCTGGCATCCTGGCTCTGGCTATACCAACATCATGCGGGTGCTGAGCATATCCTGAGTCGTGTCCCCCCGCACCGAACTCTGGACCTCATCCCTTCCCCATTCCCTCCACCCAGTGCCCCTCCTAAGTCTTCTGCACTCCCAGTCCCCCCTGCCCAAGGCCACATCTGCCATCTAGCCCCATTCCAGGTTCCCCTTCCCCCTCTCCATTTCACACAGGCCCCGACCAGCCATGGCCAGTTAAGCACTGGCCATCAGGCAGCGCCAGCCATACATTCCCTGTACCTAATGCTCTCAGATGAGCCCTGAGATGTTCTGAGCCTTTAATCCCAGCTTAACTGTTTAATTCAATCCACCCAGCCCCCTCCCACTGCTCCCTATACCTGGGGCTTGGGGGGAGAGGAACAGGACAATCATGTCCACAGTTAACACAAAACCATATTTGAAACATATTTCACCTCCGAGTCTGACGTTCTTGTATGTGGTCCTCATAGTAATCTGGGCATCTCCCGGGGGGACTGCCTCCTCTTCCTTCGTCGTGACTAACGGTGGCATCAAAGCACCATGTTTTTGGGGAAGCCAGGATAGAAGGACACTGGGGAGTGCTGACAGCCAGGCGGCCCCATCTTGTCCCTGTCTTCACAACCTCTGCTGGGCTGACAGGCCACCCCGTGGCTGCTCTCATGCCCTCAGGCCTTGCTGGGTCAGATGTCCTGCTGCCTCCTGCACCCAGAAATTTCTTCATGCCTACTTTGTTCCCACACACAAGCCAGGAGCCAAAATGAGTGTCTCTATTTTCTTTTTTAAACCCATCTGTTTGGAAGCAATTACAAAACTTCTCCTACATATCCAGAACCCCAGAACCCCCGACCCAGGAGAAAAGGAGGTTTAGGGTCCTGGCCCCACATTCTTTGATGCTGTAGAGTAGGGGTGGGGATGGAGGGGTGGGGCAAGGGATTTCTCTTGTCCCTGAGAAGGCAGAGGAGCTGGCTAGCCTGCCCTTTCCCAGGCTTGAGTACCTCAGGCCCTCCCCTTACTCCTGCACCAAGAGCAAATTCAGTAGGAAAAAAACCCATAAAAGTAAGAACAGTCCTCCTCCCCCTCCTGGGCAGCCTTCCTGCCCCTACCTAGATAGGGGGAGGGTTCGAGTATTGCTGCTGATGGGGTTGGGCAAGTACCACAAGAGCTGGCGCGGAGGGGCCTGACCCTTCCTATCTCCCTATCAGAAAGGGAGTGGAGGGAAGGATAAAGGATAAAGGAATGGGGGAATAAAATGAATTGGTAATAAATAAAATTAGCAAATAAAATTATTAAGAATTGTGTAAATAAGAATAAATAAATAAGGAAGGGAGAAAGGAAAGCAAAAATGTCATTTAAGGATTCAGCCACTTGCCCCCACCTGGAGGGATCTAGGCTGGCACATTAAAGGAGGTGCCAACCATCCCTTGGCGTCAAGGGGGACAGCACTGGGGCAGGCGTACAGTGAAGAAGTGGCTCCTAGTTTACAAAAAGACAGTCTACCACAGAGACAGAGACTGCAGGGAACTTGACAGGAGATGCGTATTCCCACTTGGGGGGTTCAGGCAGGAAGGGTCCACACATGGCAGCGAAGGTGCCCGCGCCCACACCGGGGACCCAAGACATTTGCTGACAACAGTGGAGGTGCAGGTAACTGGCAGTGCCTGGCTCAGTTACGGGGCCAGGACGATGACCACATCAGGCAGACCTGCAGGGTCATGGGCAGGGAAAGGGAGACGCCTAGTACTTGGCAGTGATGGCAAGTGCTTGTGCTTAGTTAAGGGGATCACAGGCCTGAGCCTGCACCTGGCAGGACCATGGCCAGGACGATACCCTCGTCAGACGGCTGGGAGTTGCTTCTACTTGGTAGTGGAGACCTATAGCGCCTGGCACAGTGCCTTGAATGTGATAGATGCTCAGTACATTTGATGAATGAGTGAATGGACTAGGAGGATGTCAAGCCGCAGGGTGCCTGAGCAGACACAGAACATCTTGGTAGGTGGGGGGATATTCCCGTAGGGCAGTGTTCCAGGTCCCCTTGGCCCTCGCCAGGAGGCTTCCACCCTCAGGCACACGTTACTACACCTGAGAGCCTACCCAAGGGCTTCACATGTTGGCAGAGAGCTGGGGACCCCGGGAGGTGGCTGGCTCAGGCACTGATGGCCTGGGGGCCTGGGCTGCCCCTGGAGGCTTGGCCAGGAGCCCTGAGGAGGGCAGGCGTTCACTTCCCGATCCCTTACGCCCAGGAGAGCCATCACCTGCTGCCCGCTGAGGCAGAGAAGGTTGGGAGGCTGAGAGTGGGCGGCCCCGAGGTCCTAGTCGTCGTCCACCTCCTCCTGGTGGGGGGCCCAGCAGAGAAACCTGGGAACGCCCTGCCCGAGAGAGGCTGGCATGGAGGGTTCGGGCAGGGGGAGCAGGAAGGCGGGAGGTGGATGCCCACGGCCCCCGGGCGAGCAAAGGGCCCGCTCGGACAGGCACCAGTGGGGAGGCGGGGGAACCTGCTGAGCGACGAGCAGAGCGAGCAAGGAGGGTGGCTGGAGAGTCGGGCGAGAGGGGCAGAGGGCCTCGCTGGTGAGTCAGGGCGATGGCCACGTTGGAGGTCACGGCGGCTGCCTGCAAGGGTGCGTGCACCAGTGGCTCCCAGAGCACCGGTTTTCCGCTGAGCCGAGCTCCTGTGCCTGGGGCCAGACCCCGAACACCCCGAGCCATGTCCCTGTCCTGTTGCACCAGGTGCTGCTCCATGATGCCCCCACTGCTGCCTGGACTTGGCTCAGAGCGCTTCCGCTGCAGTATGGAATTCTTCTTGCCTAGAAATCATCCCAGGAGGGAGGAGTTAAGGGTAGGAAAGGAATCCAAGATGAAGGTCACTGTCATAGAATGAGAGTACCAAGATGGGATGAGGGTAGGGGATGGGGTCAAGATATGGACATGGGGTTGGGGGGATGGGGATCAGGAGATGGCAGTTAGAGGAAGAGTCAGGGGGAGAGAGTGTGTATCCACGATGGTGAGGATCTGGGCCTGCTACTCAAGGAAGGAGGACTCGGGGCATGAGGATTTGGGGGCACATCTCCAGGTGTAGGAGATACTGAGTGGTAGGGACAGTGAGCCTCAGTGTTGAAAGGCGTATTGGGGGCATTTGCTGGGACTGGGGTGGGCTGGGGTGTGACACTGAAGCAGCAGAGTCTGGGCCCTGGGATGTGGAGATGGGGTGGGGGCCCAGCCTGGACCCAGAGCAGACAGGGTGGACAGTCCTCCTCACCGATGCGGCGCAGCCGGTCCATGGCCACAGTCTCGAAGGCCCGGCGCATCATGGGGAACTCCTCGAGCACAGCGTTGAAATGATCCACGCTGAGCGAGTAGAGGCGGCAGTAGGTGTCAGCCCGCACGCTGGCCGTGCGGCGGCCCCGAGTCAGCAGACAGATTTCTGTGAGATTGGGAGGAGTCCCTCAGAATCACTGTCCCCAGAACTCCCTCCCACTGGGCCTGCCGCCGCAGACCCAGGGGCCCAGGCTCCGCCCCTAGATGGGAGGGGCTAATGATTACCCACCCCAGGGTCTCTAAAGGCTCCAAGTACTACTGTCTTTCTCGAAATTACAGTTCCTTCTCAGGAATAAAAGCTGACAAGCAGACAGGTCTTGCCAAACCCCCACACTCCATTTTCATTCCCACCCCACCTCCACTGCTCTATTCTGGGGTAGGCCTGGGGCAGCATTCTCCCTGCACCCTCCCTTCCCACCCCTTTGAATGAATTCCAAGGACAACCCAGAAGGAGAAAAGCAGTAACGAAGGTCTAAGGGCAACACAATAGGGATGCTGGAGGGTAGTGGGCGGTTTGGGTACTGGGAGATTATATGAACCTCAAGTCCTGTTAGGCAGCAGCAGGTAGAACTATCCTGGCTGCCACACACCGGGTCCCTGAATCATGCCACTAGGGCATATACCACTGGGGCACCACCAAACTCAAGCCCCTGGAACAGCACAGCTTTATCCCCATCTTTCCCTCATCTCAAAGGATCCTCGGATTTTGCTGAGTAAGGGTTCTAAAAGGCTCCCTGGCCCAGAAATTTTCAACCTGACTGTGCACTGGACTCTCTTAAAAAGCTGTTTAAAGATACAGAGCTCCAGGTCTCAGGCCCAGAGATTCTGATTAAGTAGGTCTGGTGAGGAGCTGGAACTCTGTAATTCTGCAGCACAGCCAGGGACCCTGATCCAGGATAGCAGTTGCCCTCTGTCCTCTGCACCAGCCCTCCCCAACCCCCCAAGGCCTGCTGACCCCCAAAGTAGGATCCATCAGTGAGGCGGGTGTCCCGGGCGCCACGTGCCAGCACACTGAGCAGCCCATGCTGGATGAAGTACATCTTCCTGCCCACAGAGCCCTCACGCACCACGAGGTCCCCTGGCTGGAAGACCTCAAAGCGCAGCTTGGTGAGCACCGCTGTGACGAAGCTGGGGTCGGCGTGGGCAAACAGTGGCATGTGGGCCACCAGGCCCCGGCAGGTGAAGTTAATAATCTCCTGGGCAGGAGAGGGGCCCGTCAGGCAGGCTGAGCCCCATGCCCCCAGGTACCCCCCTCAAGCTCATCTGTCTCCAGAGGTCCCACCCCTGGAGTCATGATCTGCCAAAGGATGGGGATGCTTCAGTGGGCCTGGGACCACCCCTAAGATCCTGCCTTCAGGGCTCTCCCACCAGCCCTCCCCCCAAAATAAAGATCCCTGCAGCCCCTTCGTATGTATACTTCATCCCCATAAGACTTCAAGAAAGGTCCTAGCCCCTAAAAGCTCCCTAAGAGCCCCCCAAAGTCCTCTGCAGGCCCCACTTCCTATAAAGCACCTGCTGACCAGTAGCACATGGCACCCCTAGGGGGCATCCCAGGAACCCAGGTCCTTGAAGAGCCCCCCTCCAGGGCCCCATCAGTCCCACCTCCCGAAGCGGCTCGCTCAGCTCTCCTAGGATGCTTTCCTCATCAAACATCTTGCCTTGATAGCGGTGTTCATAGTACTCATGGATGCGCTGCCGTGTGTCAGCCGGCAGCTTGTGGAAGGACATGTACTGCTCCACCTGCTTGTACTGCAGCCCAGCCAATGGCCCGCAGGCAAGAGGACACAGGTACAGATGTGGAGCAGGAACAGTGGCAGAAGGTAAGTAGAGGAAGAACATAGACATGAGTCAGACCCAGCGGGGTGAAGCATAGAGACAGATGGGGATACACAGCGCCAGACAAGGATATACGGATAACAGTGGATACAGGAAGGACACACGCATAATCGCAGGAAAACCCAGAGCAGAGGAGGGGATCCAAGGACAGGGTCATAGGTCCAAACATGGAAAGGGTACACATAAGAGCATGGGGCAAGGAAGGACAGAGAGACCCAACAGGGACATGTGTCAGAATGGGCCTCAAGTTGAGCTACCCAGCCTCCATGCTCACCCCTTCCCTCTCCTGCCCCTCCCTGCTGACCTTCTCCTGGTACTGGCGCCGGGAAGAGTCCAGGGACTGGATGAGGGCGGTGGCGTGGCCGATGAACATGGCATAGCACGTGGCACCCACGATCATGCTGAGCATGGTGAGCCAGACGTCGGGCATGCCAACAGGTGCCTGCTGCCCGTAGCCAATGCACAGCATGTGGCTCATGGCCTTGAAGAGAGCGTGGGAATACTGGCGGCCCCACGAGTGGTTCTGGGAGGGGCAGAGTGCATTGCAGAGCTGGGCACAGGCCCCTCAGAGCCTCATTCTCCTCCTGCCCCCTCTTCTCTTTCAGTCTTTCTGCCTGCCCCCTTCTTCAGACTTGCCTCCCAGGTGGCACTTAAGTTTGGTTCTGGGGGCCCTGGGGGAAGAAAGGGCCTCTTTGCAGCTTGGGAGCCTCAGTTTCTGCCCAGGTTTCCTTCCCTGCCTGCTCCCTCCAACACACAAACACGTCTGCTGGGTCTCTTTCCCTTCTCCTCTAACCTCCCCAACTCCTCACTCTGTCTTCTCTCTTGGTCATCTCTCCATCATCTCCCACCTCCTGCCCTGTGGTCATCCCAGCTACTCAGGCAAAAGAGCCCTCAGAAGGCCCCAGAGAGGCAGAGCTGCGGGGAGTTCTCACCACCATGTGGTTGATGGAGACCCAGCAGTCAGGAGGGAAGTCCTGCAGCATGGGGACCAGGAACTGCAGACAGCCATCCCAGTGACAAAGCAGCAGCATCATCCCGATGAGGTTGAAGATGCGAACCACAGCACTGGCCAGGTCATAGGTCATGTGAAAGATCTGAGGAGTCCGAGGAGGGGCTGCTGTGGACAGGACCCCTCCCTGCTGGTCCTCCTCCATGCCAGCCTTGCAAATCCTCTCTTTGAACTTCTCTCTAGCCCCAGCCCCAATGAGTTTAAATGTACTACTCTTCATTGGCATAGAGCTTGACAGCACACCTACAGCGGATACAAAGTGGTGGTCTTACTACTCTCATCTTATAGATGGGAAAATTGATACCAATCACGCGCCCAGAATCACACAGTAAGTGTCACAGCAGAAACTCAAAAAGGTCTACTGCACAAGCTGCCCAGGCTGTGCCCTCTGGAAAAGAGGAGAGAGGACATCACAGCATGATGTCCCCAGGGTGTGTGTATAGGGATTAATGCCAGTTTTCCTCCTCCCCTTCAGTAAAAATAAGGTAACTTACCGAGTACTTACTATGTGCTGGGCACCGTTCTAAATGTTTTACAGGTATTAGCTCCTTTAATCCTTATAACCTTATCATATGTAAGTATATTTAACACTTCATTTTACAGAAGAGGAAACCAAGTCTCAGATAATAAATAGTAAAACTGGGATCTGATCACAGGCAATGAGCACAGAGTCCATGCTCTGAACCATTAAACTGCTGCTCTGAAGCTCAAACACCAGCCTCTTGCACACCCTGCAACTCCTAGCTCCCCTTGCGCATCTTCCTCCTCAAGTGTTCGTCCAGTAGCTGTACTCCGCCCTCCTACACCGCCATCCTCACCCCGGGGCCCCATCCCCTGAACTCTCATTCTGCTCCTGCTTCTTCCCCACCAACTTTGGAGAGAACCCACCCCCAGAAGCTCCACCCATAAAGTCACCAGGAGCCCCACCCACAGCGCTGTCCCGGAGCAGTCTGCGAGCCCCCCTGCCCACCTCCCTGCCCCACCTCCTCCCACTGGTGTATGTAGCGGATGAGGCGGGAGAGGCGGAGCAGCCGCAGCAGGCTGAGAATCTTGGTGAAGCGCACAATGCGCAGGGCCCGCGCAGTTTTGTAGACCTCGGCGTCCAATCGTGGCTCCAGCTCCACCACTAGGAAGATGTAATCCACGGGTATAGAGGAGATGAGGTCAACCAGGAACCAGGTGCGCAGGTAGCGCGTGCGGATGGCTCTGGGTGCCAGTAGGATTTCAGCGCCCTCCTCTACCACAATGCCCGTGCGGAAGTTGAGAACGAGATCCAGCAGGAAGAAAGTGTCAGACAGGACGTTGAAGACGATCCAAGGCGGGGAGTTCTCCTCCTTGAAGAAGGTGATGCCCACGGGCAGAACAATGAGATTCCCCACCATCAGCAGGAGCATGATCAGGTCCCAGTAAAACCTAAGGTGGGGTGGGATGGGGAGTAAGGCCACCATGATATTTCAACAGCCACTAGACTAACAGCAGGTAATCTAACACAGCCAAGAGTGGCCAAGGATACAGAACAACGCAATGACCATTTACACCTGGTGGAAATGTAAACTAGGACCACTACTTGGGGAAATAGTTTAGTATTATCTAGAAAAGTTGAATGTTTGCATTCCTTGTAACCCAGCAATTCTATTCCTGGCTATAAACACACTCAAGGGAAACATGTGCTCCAGGGGACATATACAAGAATGTTTATAGCAGCATTAAATCTGGAAACAACCCAAATGCCCTGTCAGCAGAAAAGGGTAGATAAATAAGATACAGCAGATAAATAGATTGGGATATATTCATGTTCCTGAATAATATACAACCCTGACATCACCAACTGCAGGTACATTCCACAGTAGGGATGAATCTCACAAATTTAATGTTGAGCAAAAGAAGCAAGAAACAGAAAGATACATACTGGCTTATTCCACTTGTACAAAGTTCAAAAACAGACAAGATTAAACTGCATTATTCTGGGATTCATAGAAAAATGGTAAAAACTATACAGAAAAACAAGGATGTGAGTAGCACAAAAGTTAAAATAGTAGGTTTGGGAAAGGTATGTGGGAGCAGTAGGAAAGCTTCTAGGGTGCCAGCAGTGTAGTCTCTCTTGACTTAGTGGTTACATGGAGTTTGCTCTATAATTACCCTTTCAAAAACACACTGTATGTATGTGTGTGTGTGTGTGTGTGTGTGTGTGTGTGTGTGTGTGTGTGTAGAGAGCTCCTGCTATATACTATATTACTATATGTATCTCTAGTATATAGATATATCTACTGTGTATCTGCTGTATATTTATCTACTAAATATATGCCTACTATACATATATACCATATATATCTTTTTAATATATATAATTGTGTGCAATATCCTTACTACATATATATGATCTATGTCACTATTAAATATTTTAGAAGTTAAAAAAAACCAGATAAACTACCCTGTGCTAGTCTCACAGGATTGTTGAAAAATATGCACTGAGACAATGGGTGTAACAGTGCAGTACAAGGATTAGTTGATGCTATGACTCACCCACCCTTTATCCCCAGATTTCTGATGAGGTTGCTGCTTCTTCCATCTCCAGCTCTCTGCCCATTCTTAGTCTAGGACTTCACACCCTGCCCAGCCTTCCCCACCCCAGCCGTCCTTCCCAGCACGGTTGGACCCATGGGTCCTTTTTCTCTGCTGGGATCTGGTCATGTGTATCTCAAGGTAGGGGTGGTCTGTCCTGCCTTCCATTTGAACTGAGCTTTTCAGGGACGCCCCTCCCTGCTCCACAGCACCTCAGACAGGGCTGCACAGACAGAGAAGCTCCATAGGAGATTCTGAGGCAGCAAGGCTTGCAGCTCTGTACTCCCTCCCTTCCCTAACCTGTGCCCAGGCAAGGGCGTGGGCAGGACAAACAACACTGCTGTGGGGGAAGCTGTGGAAAGAAGAGGTCAGGAGGGAGCTAGGTGAATCCCTCATTCAGAAAGGATCACTGGACAATCTGAGGGGTCCAATTAGCTGTGGTGGTTTTAATTCCAGGACACACCTAATCACAGCATCAACCCAGGATCCAGACCCTTTTGAAAATCAATTCTTTCAACCTCTGAAAGAAGCTTTGTGGTCCCCAAATCCCAGGTAGCCCTTCAGGCTGTGTGCCTTCAATCCACAACAAATCCTCCAACCCCTCTTCCTCTTCTTCCTAGGCCACTGGAGAAATTCTGTACTATGAGCTGGGAGAGGAGAGGGAAAGAGGGTTTGCCTAGCCATAGAACATCTTCACAGCCTGACTCACAGGCAGTCACAAGCCTGGCGTGTGATGCAGTAGAGAGGACAGAAGAAGCACAATAATAAAGGGTATACACGGCTTCTGGGAATACATCTGAGGGTGAAATGGGGGAGGGGAGGGAGATTTGCAGGAGACTAGAGGTGAGACTAGAGACTAAAGGTGCAATGGTGTGTGGGAATGAGGCGGTAAGGAAGAGGGGAGTAGACGAAACAATAGGAGAAAGAGGAACATTTATGGAGTCTGTGGATTCAAGATGATGCCAAAGTCTACGATTGTGTTTCCAGGCTCCTGATTCACACCTCATCCTTTCTGCTCATTTAGCTCCCCAGATTAGGCGCTTTGCACACATCTTGCCTCATCCAAAAGCTGTCCTTCATTTCCCCCAAGGACAGGGCTCCTCTCCTTCCCTAGCGACCTTGATGGAGAGGTACAGTCTGATAGGACTATGAAATGGCCCCACCCCCGCCTCTGTCCCTTCTCTCTGGTAGTCACCTGGGCGGTGGCCGATCCCCTGCGTTGCTGTCTCAATCGCTCTGAATGCTGGCCCTCCTTCAGCACCAGGGACAGCGATCAGAACGGCTGTCCAGACACCCCCGGCCCACCCGACCCGCCTCGTCCCTTTATTTCATGGTAGCCTGCCCTATTGAACTGAGCAGTTGCTGGGGGTGGGGGTGGGAGGAAGGGAGTTGTTGGGGGCGGGGGGATTGGGAGATAGCGGAGCTCGGTTTCTCCCTCAGGCTTTGGAATATAACATGATTTTCCAGATCCCCAGCAGGCAGGACTGGAAAAGGCAGGGGTCCCTAACTCCAGTAGTCACAGTGGGTCCAGGCGGGGTGCCGGGTTCCTGAAATGGGAAATCCAGGTGTCTGGTGTCGGCTCGTCCCTTCCGGCGACCCCAGCCTGAGAAGTCACCGAGGACCTCTGGCTGGGGATCCCTCAAGTAATTCCCAGGCTAGGTTGGGGGAAGTGATTCTTCTGTCCCACCCGAGGACCCCTGGGCCGGAAATGAAGTGTCCGTCGGGGGTGGGGCGGGCCCTGCCCCCAGTGTCGCGACCCGTGGGGGTGGGATCTGTGTCCCCTACCCTCCTTGCCGGGCCCCCAGTACCGGAAGTCGCTGTAGGGGTGGATGATCCAGGCCCCCGCTGACTTGACCCGTTCCTGCTCGATTTCCACTGCTTTGTGGCTGCCGAACACGCGAAGGGAGAACTTGTTGACCGTGGGCTGTAGCAGCGTCCCGAACTGCCTCCTTTTGGGCTCGGGTCCGGTTGCGGACCCAGGGATCGGACCTGAGGCCGCGGTCGCAGGCGCGGGGGCAGCAGGAGGCGTTGTCTCCAGCCCGGGGGTCGCCCCGTCGCCGGCCCCCGTCGTTGGCCGCTGCTCTGCCTCCATGACGCCGGTCAGCTTACACGTTTGGCCTCCTAGACTCTGGCGCGGCCATCAGGGGACCCCAGACCCCTTTCGGACTCGGAACCCGCGCAGCCCGGCGGGCTTGGAGCGGAGGCGTAGTCAGCTCGGAACTGCAGGCGCGCGGGGCGGAAGGGGGTGTGTGCGACAGACTCTCGGCAGGCGGCGGGCGGGTTGCGCTGCGCCCTCTGGCGAGGGCCGCACAGAGGCTGGGCAGGCCCGGCGGAGGCGGGCCGAACGAGAGCTACCCCGGGAGGGGGCGGGACCAATGAAGCCCTTACTCGGGACGGGCTCCGGGGTAGGCGGAGCTTAACAAACAGGCAATTCCCCAAGAGTAGGGGGAGACGGCGGGGAATGCAGTGGGTGGCGCGGAGAGGGCGTGACCTGGAGTTGATGGGCTTTTATCCATTGACTGCCAGGGAGGTGGAGCAGCTGCTGCAAGTGGCGGGAAAACCGGACGTGGATTGTAGCTCGTGAGACTCCGGAGCGCGAGGAATTGGGCACCAAGGAAGAGGTGGAGAATGACTTTTGAGATTCTTGTTCCCCACTCTCGCTCATGGGCTTCCTACATTCCACATTCTTTCTCTCGACACTCTCCTAGACATATTCCTTTCTTCTGATCTCCATAGCCCTCCCCCTGTATTTCACTTCCAAATTCGTTATGCCACCACTCCTCAAGAGTGACTCTGCCCGTCACTGAGTGAACTCTGAGGATACAAAAATGAACACAAAAGAGCTAGCTATAACGTCACTGCTCAGCTATACCTGCAGACAGACTTAATAGGTAAATTACAGTGCCATGTGATGTTATATGCTACAAGTTCCTAATTACGTCAAATTCTCTCCTCATCTCTGTTTTTTATTACCACTGCCTAATTTAAGCCCTCAGTACTTTTTTCCACCTAAATTATTTCAGAAGCCTCTCTAAACAGGGCTCTAAACTCTCAGGCCAATTATTTTCCCACAGTCTGCCAGAGTTACCTTCCTCTAATTCAAATGTAGCTATATCACTTGCTTAATATTGTTCAAACTTCCCGGTCGTCCATAGGATTACATTCAAGCTCCTTAGAATGACATACACGACTCTGCAAAATTTGTACCTAGTTTCAACAATCTCTCTTCTGTTAGTCCTTCTCTTGAAAGCCAGTACTCCAATCGTGGTAAAAATCTTTATTCAGCCTTGTCTCCAGAGCTTTGCAAGTATTTTTTCTGCCTGGTATTTTTCTCCTCCAATTCATTTTCCAACTGTTCTTCCACATGTCATTCCCTCTAGGAAGCCTAGGAACACATTTGTCAACTCCCCTTTCCCCAGCTAGAGAAAGTCTTGATCTTTCTTACAGTGGCCAGGGCATCACTGTTTATAATACTCTTGTCGCAAGGCTATCATTATTTGTTTACAGGTCTTTCTCTCCCATTAGACTGTGAAATTTTAAGAACTGGAGCCTTGCACCTGGCACAATGCTGGACACATAATGGCAACTTTGTAAATGCTTGTTGAATGAACGATAATCTGGGAAAGTGTTCACAGAGGAGTAAGTGAACTCCCCACTCTTTCCCTCAACTCCTTCATGACCCTTCCTCTTCTATTTTAGGGAACGTTTCCTCAACATGTCTGGCTAACGTATGTAATCTCCATCTGACTATCCTCCATGCCCTTTGATATTTCCTAACTTCAATATAGTTATCCCCAGGTTATTTTTTTATTTCCCTTTCTATTTCTCAATTACTTCTATAATGTCTCGTACTCTTCCCAGTTCGTCTCAAAGTCCTCTACTCTTTCCTCTTGTTTTTTTCAATTCAGTAAATGTACACTTCTCATATATTATGTATAAGTACGTAACATACAGTTCTCAAGTGACCCTCCCTTTTTTGGCAAAGAATTTTCCGTCCTTTCATTTCTTAAACCTTTCCAAATGGCCATATCCCCTGCAACCATTACACCCACCGACCCGCACGCGCATAGCTTTTGTTCAGGACAAAAGGTGGGAGCCCCTCTTTGCGCGGTGAAGTAGCTGAACTGTTTTAAAAACTGGATATTTACAGGCTATGCTGGAGAATCAGATCTCACACTAAGACTCAAAAGGCGACACTCCGTAAAGGACAACCATCTCTTTCAAACCACCAGGCCTAACAAAGTATGCCACAAAGTCTCATGAAAAGGCTAAAAGATTGAAGTAGGATAAGGAAGGATTCGAGGCAGGGCGGGGAGGGGTCGGGCAGCAAAGCCGTGGGGACTCCCTGCCCGCCCTGATGAACTCCCGCCCCCAGCACCTTCCGAGCTCTCACACGCGGACGCCCAGAGCTACGCGAGGACGCGGTGGCAGGCGCGGTCCTGGGGGCGGAGCCCAGGGGGTAGCTGGGAAGGGACGCAGGACGTGCGTGCGTGCGTACGTGCTCGCTCGCGGTGGCGGCGGCGGATCGGGGAGGCCAGAGCCGGAGACCGAGCTGGGATCGGGCCCCGGGCGGGGGCGGTGCAAGCGGCGCCAAGCGGATCCTGGGGGCGGGGACCGAGCCGGGGCGGGCGGGACTGGAGCGGACCCCGGGAACTAGGCGGGAGGTCCCAGGGTCTCGGGTTGGGGGGGTGGAGCCGCACTTCGTCGCCGCGGGGGTGCCGGGACTCCGGCCGCAGTGCCGCCGCCATCACGGACTTCCTGTGGGACAAGCGCACGGGCCTCGCCGCCAGAACGGTGAGCGCGCGGGTTGGCGGTCCGCGGGGCCGCGCGGAAAGATGGCGACGGCGGGCGGGCAGGGAGAGGGTTGGATTGGGGCTAAGGGACAGGCACTAGATGAGAGAAGGAGGGTTGAGAGCTGCGAAGCGGCAGAGGTGAGAAGTAGGGAAATAAAGTGGAAGATCGGTCCTCCTTAAATGTATCCAGAAAGCCTACAGGAAACTTGGGAGGGACCAGAGTAGCAGAAGTGGTGATGGAGGAGGCGTACGTACGAGTGGTTGCAGAAGTGAGAAAGAACAGAGTATCAAAGTTGGACCAAGGTTGGAGAGGGGGAAGACACCATTGTATCTCTTGGAGAATATGCAAAGAGTTTGACTCTAAAGGTTAGTTCTGGATTTAGCGAGTGAGAAAGGAAAAGAAAGATTTAGAAGTTGAGAAATGTTGTAGGATGGAGATGCTTTGGGGAAAGAAAGAAGGCCTGTGGGGAACTTTGGTGGCAGAATATATATGGTTGAGATGACATTTATGTGGCTTTGCTAAGCAAGGTTGGGTAACCTGGCAGAATCTTGTTCTTGCATCTTTTTGGTTTCCTACAAGCCCTGGCAGGAATGAATCAAATATTACCCTTCTCCTCAATGTAAGGAAGTTGGCAAAAAGTAAGGAGCCAGATGCTGGAGTCATTAAGCCTTTTCCAGAACCTAATATGCTTCTCTCCCCACTTCTGTTCCTGGCCTCGTTTAATTTCATTCTGCTCTCTTCATCTTCTTGGATTGTGACTGTGATTTCTCTCTGACTCCTTGAAGGAGAAATGAGTATGTGCACCATGCCATTCCAATTCCAATAACTGGAAGGTGGCCAACTTTCAGCCAAATTATGCTGATATTAATTAAGAAGCAATTATTCTGTACTTCTTAAGCACAAGAGGAGACCAGCCAGATGGGAAGCTGACTGCAGCTTAGGGCCTCCTGTATTAAAACTTTTCAAGGGGCATTTGGCCAGTGATGTGAGAAGTGATTTAGTTCAAGGGGCCAGACGGAGATCCCTGGAACTTGCTTGTTTTGCATACACTGCTGTATGTGGAAACCTGGCAAACTAGATTCCTGCCCTCAGGACAGGATGGTCTAGTTGGGGAGATAAGACACACTCTTGACTGTAAAACATTTATCATAATAGTATATACTAAAGCATTATTTTGTTAAGTTGTAAGAAACTCTGAATAGCACAGATCTATGTTATATCCCAGCCAAGGGTGAATGATGGCAGGCTCCATTCGTTACACACACTCACCGGTAATGAGCTGTGGCCCAGGCCTGAAGGTCTTCATGGAGCCCTGTGAGAAGAAAATCGGAAGGGAGCAAGGAGTTGAGTTGGGGGAAGCTTCCTAAAGTTTTCATCCAGAGTTAGTAGGTAAACAGAAACTCCATTAAGGAGAAATTATGAGCACAGAGGAAGACCAAGGAAATCGTAGGTGGTGAAAAGAGGTAGAAATAAGAGCAGAAAGTGTAGCATTGGAGCAAGCCAGGACTTAGAGGGGCTCCTGAACACTCAGAACTTTCCCCACTATTATTTCTGCTTCTCCTTCCCTTCCAGATGCCTCATCCTCGAAGGTACCACTCCTCAGAGCGAGGCAGCCGGGGGAGTTACCACGAACACTATCGGAGCCGAAAGCATAAGAGACGAAGAAGCCGCTCCTGGTCAAGTAGCAGTGACCGGACAAGGCGGCGCAGGCGGGAAGACAGCTACCACGTCCGTTCCCGGAGGTGAGGAAGAGAACCTCATTCTCTAGGTCACTGACTCATTTACTTAATTCAACAAAAATTTATTGGTTATATGCTAAGCAGCTGGGGGAAGGATACTCAACATGGATAACAAGCAATTTGCCTGATTGTTGAGTGTTATCATAGAGGAAGGGGCCAAGGAAGCCTCCAGCAGGTTTGCTTGGAGCGGAGCAGGTATGTGTAGTTCAGGGAAAGCTTCCCAGAGAATATGACATCTATGCTTGTATGTAGGACAAGGGAGAAGTGTCCCAGGCAAAGGGAAAGTGAGTGCAAAAGATTAGGGGAGAGGTAGCTAATTGGAAGATGCAAATCAGGTCTGCTTGGTTTTAATAACTCAGCAGCATAGTCGGTGAGAGGGATGGGTTAGGGATAGTTTGGGGCAAAGCTGAATGTCAGGAAAGGCTGGAGAAAGAAATAGCTATCGTACCATTGTATCGCTGGAGGGGAAGGAGAGGCCCCTAAAGGGGTAGTTCCGCAGATGTCTTTTCAGAGGCCTTGGTGACATGCAGGTGTGGGCTTCCTCTTTGCTTAGTTATTTCACTTCTCTGGTCCTTGGTCTTCTCAGAGTGACTTGATGAGTGGAGCAATTTCTCTAACATTATTCTTGGTCCTCTCTAAGGGAGGACCTTGTCATGTGGAGTGGCAAGGAGTGTGGCCAGAACAGATGCGCCTAATGGGTATTGTCCAACAGCAGCTATGATGATCGTTCATCGGACCGACGGGCATATGACCGGCGGTACTGTGGCAGCTACAGGCACAACGGCTATAGCCGGGACCGGGGAGAAGCCTATTATGATACAGACTACCGGCATTCCTATGAGTATCATCGGGAAAACAGCAGTTACCGCAGCCAGCGCAGCAGTCGTAGGAAGCACAGGCGGCGGAGGCGGCGCAGCCGGACATTCAGCCGCTCATCTTCGGTGAGTGCCCACCCAGGCCCTTCCTCTCCCCACTTTTCTTCAGTCCTCTAGGATCCTGGTAGGTGAAGAAGTATCCTGTTCCTAGCTGAGTGTTGGGGAATGAACACTGAGGCGGGCAATCTGCCTACTCTCTTGGGTGCTCTCCGACTCGTGGAGGGCCCTGGACTCTGCACAGAGCATTTGTGAACCCCAGTGCCCTCCCTGGCATGCTGGGCTAATCATGTTGGGAGCAGTTCCTCCCCAGAGGCCTCCATTCTCTAAGGGGGTCTGGCTTGTGGACTACCTTTCTCCCCCAAGCCCTGGTCTCCACGGCCTCCTCAGCAGGTGGGCTTGGGTGGGGGCAAAGGGAGATCTGTGCCTGCCTGGAAGGACATTGCGTAGAGCATGGGGATGTGGGTGACGATAGCAACGACACTACTTCTCTGCTCTGCCCGTGCCTCTCCTGTGCCCGTTTTGGGTTTGGGGACTTGGGATTATGCGCCGCTCTCTCTTCTCACCCCAATCCGCCTTACTGCATCTGACGTGTTCCCTTCCACTGTCCCCCATCATCGTCTGTCCCCCCTGGCTGGGCATCTGTGACCGGTGGCCCCTCCACCACACACCCC